ATATCCTAAATAATGATTTTAATTTCTCCCAACCAGTGGAGGATCCAAGATTTTATAGTCGTGGATGCCGATCTTCAAGTTACTGACAAAGAAACATAAAAATAAAAATAAAAAAGATAAATGTAGAAGAAGATATGTATTAAAGAAGAAGTGGAAGAAGAAACAGCGAAAACGAGTAAGAAAAATAAGAATCTCTGAGTCAAAACCAAATAAAAGTAAAAGTTAGCAAATTAAAAGGATAGTGTTATGAAATACATATTTATATGGATGTCCACTAATCAAATATAACTCTCACTACTCTTCTCCATTATGTAGATAACCCTCACTACTTCTCACCATTATTGTTGTAACTCCCTCACCTTCATAACCTACCCATGATCTTCCTCCATGATCTCAAATGCTTAATGGCATACTTATGGAATTCTTTTGGTATACCTCTATGTTGTACTATAAATAGAGGATGATAACTCATTTTGTAATATATTTGAATACATAGAAGAAATAAGATTCTCTCCTCTCTTCCTCTCTACATTGTTGTCTATTTTATTGTTCTATATTGTTATTTTGAGCTATCGTAACACGTTATCAGCACGAGCCTCTATCCAATTGAGTTACTACATCTACAAAATTGTCTTACATCAGAAAAAGCATATGTCTGTTGTGCCTGATATTCCTCTGTAAGAGATGAGTTTTTCTTTTCCATTTAGCAATTTCAAATAATGGTATGAAATATAATAAAAGGAATAACAAGGTTGAGGAGACAAGTACATCGTGAAAAGGCATATAATGCTAAGATACGTTTTCTATTTTTTTTTAATTAATTCATTTTCTTGTTAGTTTTTCTCAAAGGTTCTTTATTTATGGCGAAAATTTCCAATACTAAGTATTACTTTGTAAAGTTGAAAATACTTAGATGTAAATTAATTACTACTCCATGTTTTTCTTTCTAATATTTGTTGTAAGTTTAGTCTAATCTCTTTCACCTAATGTTCAGGTTAGATGTTATATGAGAATCAGAAGCATATAATGATGCAGCTAAATGTTACATACTAAACCATAGACCAAAGATGTACATAAATTAAGGAGCTACGCCAGCTTTTGCGAAGTGACTTGAAGAACTTTGATTCCTTTGTTACCAATAAATAGATACTTATTGTGTAACACATATATGAGTTTACTTTTATTACTATTAAAAGTAGTATACCATGAAAGTCTCAAGGGTGAGTCTACCTTGGCATATTATGCCATTAATTAAGGATAAGACGGTGGGTTCAAGTCCCAACGCACCATGAGGGTAAGACATCGGATTTTGATTCCTGATGATCCATGATTGTAAAAGTTGGGTTCGAGTCCCAACTCATTATGGCCTAACATGTCTTTATATGGGTCAGGCATTGGGTTTGAGTTCCAATGCACCATATGGATGACATAGTGATGACTAAAGTAAAATAATGTATTTTCATGGAAAAGCATGAATCTTGTCCCACTTGATTTGCACCATTCTTGAAGTGAATGTGGTAGCAATGCATAATAAGTAAATGAAGACAAGTGGTTGACCAATGAACATGGGCGTGCCATTGATCAAATAATAATAGTCATCATTATGGTAATTGTAAAAATGAGAACAATAAGGGTTCTCGAAGTAATCCTTCAATAGGTGAAGGAAATATTTACCATCAAATTGGTATGAAAA